GGGGAGGGAGGGAGGGAGGGAGGGAGGGAGAGAGGGAGAGAGAGAGAGAGAGAGGAGTTTGAATGAAGTAGGCGGCAGTTGTTGGCCTCGGCCGTCTGCCCCATGCAACCATACTTTCCAACCTATGGCTCCAAGGACCTTTTGGCCGGTTGCCTAGCTCATAGTCCTGTGTGAAGGGGTCTGGTGACCCAGCCTGGTGTATGAAGGCTTTGTGACCCAGTTTGTGAATGGGCTTGAGGGGTCTGGGAACTCCAGACCCAGCCCAAGCTCAACAATCAGCCCAGTTGGTGCAGGATTACTGGCAGGTAAAAGAGCCCGACAACTAGTGTGGTCTAGTACCTTTACAACTGGCATCACAAAAAAGAGCTAGACAATAGGTGCTGTGAGGATTCCAGGCCTTAGCCTAGCCAGACAAATTGGCGTAGTTGGCAGGATTATGCCACAATTGGCATAGTCTGTGACAGGATTCTGAGCAGGTACAGGAGCCGAAAGCCCTCGGAAGGAGGAGGAAATGTGGCTATCCTAGAGCATGTGGTGCCCTGTGGCCACTTTTCTGCTGACCAGAGCCTGGCTATTGCTCACTATGCTGCAAACTGATTGAGATTTGCGGCACAAAGCAGAGTTGTTGGATGCATGGATAAATGTCCTGGAGGACGACATGCAGTGACTGGCCACTCCTGCCTCTCACACCAGGGAAGACAACCAACCCAGTGGTGAGTTGGGGAAGACCGTGCATCTCCAGGAATGACCTGTTGTGCAGGAGAAATTGGGACAGTAAAGCAGCGGAAACAGGGAGAGCCCCTGGCGGCTACAACTATGAGATATAGGGGTGGATGGTGTAATGTGCTCTAGAGACTATGTAGTAAACGCACATTGTGTTTGTCTGAAGGCAAAGTCTCAGAGGGTGCCACTTAAACCCGATGGCCAGCTGGGTGCCGTAAAACCCGAGAAAAGAGTGCCACATGCAGATGGGCAGATGACCCAAGGACGGGTGCCACTGAAGAATTTCAAGTATGCTTTCACCTGGTGAAAAGGTTAGAAAAGTTAGTCTCCATTACTACGTACCTGTCTCTGAGGCAGGGGTTACAGAAAGAGCCACAGATATGAGACTGAGTGAGTAGCCGGTGTAAGCCGAGCTGACTGAAGTGATTCAACAGCCAGGATGTAAAAGCGGAGCATAAAGATTTGGAAAATTTGCAGTCTGGCCATGAGGTAGAAAAGCAGAGAGCAGGAGAAAAACCTCAAGGGGTGAAGCAGATAAACTGTTTGTGAAAGACATTATCTTGGCGGTGAGGCAGCCAGATGCTAAAAACTAGGACAATGTGGGAAAATGTCCTAAAGGCATTTGAGAAGTCTGGATCGGTGCCCCACCCATTACAGGCCCTGAGTGTGTTTGAGAAGTATGGGAGAGTGCCCTTCCCATCCTAGGAGGACTGAGTTGTCCTGGAGGGCAGACCTGATGTGTCACTGCCTCAGCAAACTGCTCCCTGCATCCCAGCCACTCTGGCTGGAGCAATCCTGCCTCAGAACCTCTGAAGAAAAAAATCCAAAAACCTTGGTGGCGTTCACGTTGTGTTAAGTTTGTAGGCTAGCAGTATGTGAGAACAATGGAGGTGTGGCAGCCTCCACCTAGATTTTGGAAGATGTATGAAAAAGCTGGGGAACTCAGATGGAGACCTGCTGCAGTGGTGGAGCCACTGTGAAGGTCATCTATGAAGCGATGTGGAGCAGAAATGTGGGGTCAGAGTTGCAGCAGAGAAACCCCAACAGTGCCATGCCAAGTGGAACCACGAGAGTGGGACCATCATGGTGACCTCAGGCCTGTGGAGCTACCAGAGTGGAACACCATCCTGGGAGAGGTGAAGTGTGGTCTGAGAACAGGAAAGTCATAGAAGTGGAGCTCCCCAAGGACTTGGGGACCCAACCCCCACACCAGTATGCAGAGGCAGTCAAACATGGAATCAAGGTACCTGATTCACAAGCCTTGAGATTTAATGCCTGCCCTGCTGGGTTTTGGACTTGTTTGGGACCTGTTTTTCCTTTCTTCTGGCCTATTCCTCACTTTTGGAATGGAAATGTATACCCAGTGCCTGTTCCACCATTGTATCTTGGCAGTAGATAAATTTGGTTTTGACTTTTACAGGTTCACAGCTGGAAAGACTTGCTTTTGGTCTCAGAAGAGACTTTTGACTTTGGACTTTTAAGTTGGTGCTGCAACAAACTAAAGACTTTTGGGACTGGGATGGAATGTGTAATGTGTGAATGTAAGCGCAATTTATCCTCGCTGGGGGGAGATCAAAGAAAAGAAGAGGATGTCTCTCTCCACAAAGCCCATTCCAGAGTGACAGAAGAAGCATCTGTTCTGTGATTATATTGGGGGACTTGAACACACCTCTCAGCATTGGACAGATCATCTAGGCAACAAATCAGCAGAGTAACCTTTACTCTTTCAGAAGGAGAGAAGAAGAGAGAGGGAGATGGAGGGGGGAGGGGGAGGGAGAGGGGAAGGGAGAGAGACTTAGTTAACTATAGTCATACCATTCTCTATTATCTTTCACCCAGATTGATTTATTTGACTTATGTTATCTCCTTGGCCCTTGGGGCATAAAAGTTTATGACCCAGATCTAAATCATGGTTTTTCAATTCCTCATTACAGCCTAGAGAATGGGCTTCATGTATGACAATTCATAATTAAGTGAAAAGACAATGTAAAAATCATTGCTTTAGAAAGGATTCAGTGAGGGGATGACTTAGAGTAGAGAGAATCACATTAAGTGGAGGATGAGGAAAAATCAGCCCCACAATAAAAATAAAGTTGGAAAGTACTCTTAAACAAGCTGATAATATAATTTCTAAGCTTGAGTAGTGCCATTAGTACCCAGTATTATCATTTGTGGAAAGAAGAATAATA